CTTAGCAAGACCCTATCTCAAAATTTTAAGAAAGGGGAATGGGTCTGGGCATGTAGCTCAGTGTGAAGGTCCTGGATTCCAGTCCCAGTATACACACACACACACACACACACACACACACACGCACAACACACATGCACACTCCAGATCTCACTGTGCCCTCATCCCCTCTGAGCCCCAGCTGCCCCCTAGACCACTCTCCCTGCCTTTCCACACACCTGCAGGCTCCTCCCCACGTCTTTACATATTTCCTTCAGGTGTAGCTCAAAAGTCACCTCATGAAAAGACAGACCTATACACAATCCCCTCTCTATACCTGGAACCCCAAATTCTGACTTATTTGAGAATGTGTTGATTTTCTGTCTCCTTACACCAGGATAGATGCTTCTCACAGCAGAGATTTGGGTTTCTTCTCTGCCAGTTCCCTATCTCCTAAAACAGGGTCTGGACCAGCAGGTGCTCAGTAACGGATGGATAGATGGATGGATGGATGGATGGATGGGTGGATGGAGGATTCTTTTCTGAGCAAGGAGGTAGATGATCCCTTGCCCAGCTGGCAGCCTCTGCTAGTTTCTGACCAGAGCCACTCATCACCAAAGCCAGGAGAGATTCAGGCTTCCCACCCGGAGTGCCCAGCTGGCAGGTGGACAATTGACCACCTGGGCATGTTCTTCCTCTCTGGTCCTGCCCTCCCCGTCTCTTTGTTTCCCAGCCTCAATGGGGGGCGGGGGGCAGCCCAGGGCAGTGTGGCTGGGACAGGCACTGCTCCCCAGAGACCCAGAGGACCAAAGTGTTCAACAGAAGGCCCACAGTGCAAGCACACAGAGAGCCTACTGATGCCCCCAAAGAGCCAAGGGGACCAGGGCACACCTGAGTACAGCACCAGAGACACCCAGGCCCTGGATACTGAGAACCAGAGACAGCTGCACCACACAATGGCTGGTCATCTGAAGACAGAGGGCGGAGCCAGGGTTGGGGCCAAAGGAACTTAGGCAGGACCAGAGGCCAGCAGCTGGGGCGACTGGACAGAATGGCGCCTGCTCAGCCAGGGCTGGCCCTCAGCTCCTCAGGCGTTGAGGCTAGCCTTCCTTCCTGAACTGCTGTTTCCTGGCCCCGCCCTGTTGTTGCCATGGAAATCCAGAGCAACCCAGCTCCCCAGCCTGATTCCCATGGAGCTCCTGCAGAGCAGCATTGCTGGGGAGGCCCACACAGCACGCAGCAACACTGGAGGGCACACACAGCCAGCCATACAACCACCAAGAGCAGAACACCCCCAAAAGGCTGCACAATAGCCCCAGGATTCACACAGCATTCCTGACACCCTGGCTCTCATTCAATGCCCCTAAAAATGGGCACAGCCTGTGATAGCACCCAGGGCACCCAGGACCCCAAGGATAGCATAATACCCTGAACTGGGAAACAGCCTTTGAAATATCACCTGGGCCCCAGCAGCACCCCTAGAAGCCACTCCTCTACATGTGCTGGGCCCTGACTGTCGACAGCAAGTCTGCCATTATTCACAGCCATGCTGCGGTCACAGGCACAGGTCTGCTCTCTACTCACAACCCTATGCCCTCAACATGGAGGAGCCCTGCCCGTCTTGCTGCCCCCTGAGCACCCAGGGTAGATGTGACCCACACAACACCGTTGGCATCACCCTTAGACCTAATAGACCTAAAACAGCCCCCTACTATCATCACACACGAGGACTCCCATCACAGGCCCCCCACACATACCAGCACCTTACAGATACCTGACTCCAAGTGCCCACCCTGCAAGGCACTTTTGGGTCCACATGACTGTAGTGAATTGTGCATGTGAGTCCTGATCCCAAACCTAACAATTGAAAGCACTGTACCCATTCATTCCTGTTCTCACCCTCATACCATGTGTGCCTGGGCATCAGTCCTTTCTCAGAAGCAAGACTACAGGCAGAATCAGAAGCCCAGTACACAGGACAACTAAGAGAGCACAGGGCCTGAGGACTCTCTGTCCTTGGGCAAGGGGCAATATCCACCTGAACCAGATCTGTCACTGGCTGAGAGACACATAGGGCCATCTGGTTCTGAGGTATCAAGTCTCCTTCCTGGAGGCACTGACTGCAGGAGGTCAAGGAAACCCCAGACTCACTTCCCCAGCCAGGCCTGAAGCCGAGGTAGTGTCTGAACCAGATAGTTCTGAAGCTGAAGTCTCAGCAGACCAGAGTGCTCCTCCACCTGGAGCTGTATTGATGGAGACACCACCCTCCCCCCAGCCCTACCCTTTGGGAACGGGAGAGTCCAGGCCCTGCAGGATTCTATAATTGGTCCCAGCCTTGCTCCTCCTGCAGCCGCCAGGGCTGGGCTGGTGGGAGCCTGGGAGGTCTGTGCCCAGGCAGCGCCTGGGAGGTCCCACCCCCCCAGCCCGGAGCTGAGCCAAGCCAAGCCCCCACCCAGAGCCACCAAGGGGAACTACCCAGCAGCCTTTGCAGGCCTCACTCGGAGGCTGGGGTCCAGTCCAGGCTAAAGGAGCCGAGTAGGTAGATAGCAGGGAGGACTCTGTCCAAGCAACTGCCAGGCCAGCCCCATAGTTACACAGAAGGCTGCTCCTCCACTCCGCTTCTTGAGGGTGAGCAGCTGCCAGCCTGGACCAGGTCTGGCTGAGGGATTCCAAGGGCAGAGAAATGTCCCTAGACTCATGAATTGGCCTTGTCTTTAGACAGAGCTGGATCTGAAGCTCAGTGGCCAGAGAAGCCTTGGGGCCCCTTCCCTTGGGTGCTGATGGCCACACTTTCCTAAGCAGAACCCCTGAGCCTCAACCCCTCGCCCCCATCTCCTTATGGGAGGATTCAACTTGTCTGGCTCCCAAGGCCCTGGGCAGCCTCCAGCACTAGGTCCACCTCACCCCACACCCAGGCAGACATACAGACACAGGCACACATGCAGACCACACACAGACATGCAGACACTCATGTCTGATGCCCCTCCCCCAGAACAGCTGGCCACACCCACACCAGGCCTTCTACAACCCTAGGGAGTCCCTTCAGCCCTGAGGCTCCAGGGTCAGGGCCACCCTGCTGACTGCAGCTCCCCTCATTGCTGTCCCATCTGGACAGTGGGAAGGGGCTTTCATCCTCATCCTGCCAGGCAGTGCAGGGGAGGGTAGCTTGACCCTGCAGAGGGAAGGGAGGACGCCAGCAGGCTCCTGCCCAGCCCGGTTCACAAGACATGAGAGCAGCCAGACACCTGAGTCCCACAGCTCAGCCAAGAGGAAGGGCCACTGGCTGGTGCCAGGGGAGGTGGCTGCAAGAGGAGTTGCAGGAGGGGTGGGGAGGTAATGTCAATGCTGGCGGGATAGTGTGGTCAGAGCGCTAGGCACCAGCTAGGGCCCCAGGGATCTCCACATCCACTCATGTGCGTGTGCATGTGCATGTGCATGGAAGACCCCTTCCAGAGCCCCAGGGACCTTCTTCCCTGGCCAACCCTAGTCTTGAAGACCCCACTCTGCACTCACTCATAAAGCTATGGGACACAGACAACCACTGCCAGGAGCTGCTGGGGAGGTCAAGGCAGTAGGGCCCTCTACACCTCCTCCCTATCTGGAGTCTTCTTCACAGCTCCAACCCCCATGATCTCCCCACTGGCTCCTAGCCCACCCACCACACTGAAAGCTGGCTGAACAGAACTAGTACCATTGGCAGAGGCCTGTGAGCTCATCCACCTTGATACTCACCACTTCTCTCAGCCTCCTAGGAAAAGCTGGAGATGCCACCCCAGCACCCCAAATTTTCCAACACATCAGCCCTGCTCAGCATCCATGTATTAGAGGCTAGTGCCATTGATGGACCTGGGGAGATCTGGACACCAGCCTGGGAAACCCAGCCCTTTCCTGCTAAGACCTTGCCCAGAATGTAAGGTGGGTATGTAAGGACAAAGAGAACCAAGCCTGGGAAGAAGGGTACAGTTCAGGAACAGCCAGTGGGCTGCTGCAGGACCCGTCCTGTTCCTAAGGAGGGACCGCACGTGATCTAGAGGGCCACCAGAGGCCATGCAGGCCTAGGGTCACTGATATCTGTGGCTTCCCGCCGTGGTGCTCCCTTCTCTTCCTTGACACTGGAAGGGAAACTGCAGCTTCCAGGCCATGAGTGCATGTGGGATGGGGTCCCAACCCTACCCAGTGGGTGACCTCCCCCTAACAAAACCACACTTAGCAGGGGGCAGAGCGACCTCCTAGGGGAGAGCCAGCAGCTTCTGGAGCCCCCTTCCTGATGGGATACAGTCCATAAGGAGAAAATAAAAGGCTGAAGGCTTCCTCCTTCCAGTCCCTGTGGACCGCCCAAGTGAGGGGCCACCAGGAAAGACTCTGGTGCTGCTCGCCTTCCCTGGCTTCACCTGCCCAGCCTCCTTGCTCTTCCTGCAGTGGTGGCAGACACAGGAGGTATGGAGGAGTTGCAACATTCATGGGCCCTAGGCAGCACGCATGAGGCCAGGGGCCCTCCAACCCCAGATCGCCTTCTCCTTGTGGAAAAGTTGGATTGACAGTGGATGAGGCAAGGAGAGGCCCACCCTCTCTACCTCAGGGGCAAGCTTGGGAGAGGCCTTGACGAACCAGCACTAAGAGTTCTGCCTGTGCGTGGAGGACCTGGGGGACATACCCCTCAAAGCAAGGCGCGTTTCCCGAGGTGCGGTATGAGGGCAGGTGGCCTCCCAAGAATTTGGTGCTAAAATAAGTCTTCTTCCTTCCAACGCAGTTTCAGAGCCCTGCCGCCTCGCCAGATCCTGCGCGGGTCTGACGCTGTGGGTGGGATGGCAGCTCTGCTCTGAAAGCCTGACTGCCCCACAAGGACTACTTCCCAGCCCCCATCCGGATCAGAGGCCCCTTCCCATTCGGGAGTCCCTCCTTTGGAGACGGCGGGGAGGGAGAGGGGTACGTGCCCGGGAGGCCTCGGCAGGATCCGGTGTGGCCCGAGAAGAGAAGAAAGGGAGCCCCCCGGGGAGGGAGTAGCGCGGCCCGGCCCTGCCCGGCCCGCCCCGCCTGGCCCAGCCCGCCCCGTCGCCCATTGGCCCCGAGCCGCTATATCTGGGCACCCGCCCGCCGCTAGGCCACCGCTGTCCCTGCCTCCGCTCCCACCGCCGCCTGTCCGCCCTCCGCGCCCGGCTTCTGCCTCGCAGTGCCCGCCGCCGTCCTCCGCGCTCCCGCGCAGCGTTCCGCCCAGGCCGCGCCCAGCTGGAATGCAGAGATCGCCGCCCGGCTACGGCGCACAGGACGACCCGCCCGCCCGCCGCGACTGT